CTGAACATCATTTCATATGTTTATTGTTTTGTTTCTTAATTTTGTGTTTTAAGGGTTCTTTGTGTATTTCTTGTCTTGATTTTAAATTCTGACTGTCCACTGATTACACCCAAACCTCTGACTTTTGTTCGGCCTCTTTCTTCATGATCTTGACTGTGTCATTTTTAATACTTAGTCATTCCCTTGTATTGCTGATGAAATTGCTTCGGAACCAAGGACCTTTTCCTCCCTCTTCCATCCCTCACTTCACAAAATTCTGATTCCTCTTCAGTAACTGCTAGGCTCCCAGTTTTTCCTGACCCTGATGTTTGAAGTGATCATTTATTCTGTCCCTAAGTGCCATCTTGTTTGGACTAGCTTGGATCTCCAGGCAAAGAACTTGAGCACACGGTCCTCCACTGGGTTCCTCTCAGGTTGGGTCTTAGACCTTTGACCCTGGGTTGCTGTTAAATGCACACACAGATTGTTTAACACAGAGTAGCTAAACTAGTCCTCAGAACTTCCTTAATGGGTGGAATCATTCCCAACATAGCAACAGCCAGGTGGTTTATTCTCAGTCCACAGTAGAAGTTCGCGTTGTTAATGTAGCTTATCAGTGAAATCTAAATAGTCTAGACATCTCAGATTTGTTTTCTAGTACTCTATGGTACTGATCTCTATGTGGCAAGTACCTAACACAATGTTTCATGTCTAGTAATGTTGGCTGGGGCGGTATTCCATAGCCAGTGAGAACACCCAGGAAGCAGTAGAAATGAAATGCCTTTAATAGTAATGTCAACATTTTTGAAATGGTAACAATAATATTAATAATAAATATGCTAAGGTTAACTTTTTAAGTGCTCACCTTGTGCCTTGTTTTAGGGAAAGCACCTCATTTAATTCTTATGAATACTGGGGACTCACTTGACCAACAAGATTTTGAGGCTCAGAGAAACTAAGTACCTTGCCTTAGGTAACATAGCAAATTATGTGGCACATACTTCAGGCCCAGATTTTTTTGTTGTTGTTAGGTATTTTTTAATTTTAATTTTTTTTATTCTTTTATTGGTACATTTTAGGTATACAATATATTTCCATTTATCATTGGGTGCTTGTACCTGTACATGATGTATCTTGGTTCTTATTTTTTTCCCCATTAAGGCCCAGATATTTTTAACATCTAAGATCTTTCAGGACTGAGCATAGATGCCATCTTTTTGGTTAGTTTTAACTGATTCCTAGAGTGGATTGGATGTTTCTTTGCAAACTGGTTTTCTTTGCATAGCCCTTTTTTGTTTTATATTTGACTGACTTCCAATATCTCTTGTAGCCATTTCTGTAAAGGCGGGAACTGCTCATACTGAATCCTTAGTACCCAGAGCATGAAAAGGAATCCATGACTAATAAATAATAGTTTCTGAATGAGTGACAGAATCAACCAGTCACCTTGGGATTGGAAGTAATCTAAATACATATTTTTCTAACTATATTTGATGTGATCTGTAGCCACATCCCCAAAGATATAAAAGGAGAAGGAAATTAATGTGTATAGTAGGTTCTACGTTAACTTTACACTATTTGATTTAATCTTCACGTTAATATATCAGTATTATTTTTTAAAATGTTTTCCTGGAGCAAAATACCTGGGGCCCACAATTTAAAGGAGAGGTTTATTTAGCTCAGCGTTTCAAAGGTTGCAGTCCAGGGTTGCTGGCTCTGGAGGTAGAACAGCTGGGCAGAGGGTGTGGCGGGACTCCGGAGCCGGCGATCCGGAGCCCGGGGAGAAGCCAGAGGGGCCAAATCAGGCCCCCAGGACCCACTGACAGCCAGGGTTGTGTCTTCCTCCGCCCCCGGGGGGCTTTCTGTCACCACTGTGTGTGCTAAGAAACTGAGCTCAGAGGGGCTGGGCTCCAAGTCAAAGCCTCTGAAGCCCAGAGTGGAGATTGAAATCAGGTCCCTTAAAGTTCCAGCCTACGCTGGCTTCGTATCACTCGGCTTTCTAAATTAGGTTAATGTAATTTTCGAAAAATCATTTATGATGGTATCTGGAGTAAAGGGGGCCCTGACCATGAATGAAAATGCTCCATCCTTGTAAGCTTTGCACAAATGGGAGTGACTTTGGTTGGGTGCCTGGGGCTGAGCCGGCTTCTCTCTGTGCCAGCCTTCTGGTGACCACAAGGCTTTGGGTTCAGGGTTCTGATCAAAGCCGTTGAAATATTCTTGCACTATGTGGAAACATGGATTAAACTTCAAGAGAGATTTAGGGAAATAAACCACATGGAGAAACACTATTAAAATTGCGGTAGTGATTCTTTAAAAAGAAAACTAATTCTGCCATATAATTTTGGATGAATTAACCGTACAATTTTAGAAATAGGTTGAACATAGAATTGTAGCCCCAAAAGTATGTGTGCATATGTGGAAATTTTAAGGAGAATGTGGTACAGGGCAAAATTAGTTTCTGAACCTCGACCTAAGATGTTATAGATGGCTTATTTTGTAATTATGCAAAATATGCTGAAGCCAAAGGTTAGCATTGCCCTAATCCCTGCCAGATACCTTGAATATTATTATAAAATGTTGGTGTCCTTGACAATTAATTACTAATAAGCAAACCCAGTATATATTCTGAAAGGTAATCTTTTTTTCTACAAAATACCAATGCAGCCTTAATATTCTGTTTACATATATGTGACATTCTATTAAAATAAGAACATTTAATATCAGGATACAATAAAGCCTCCTTCTTCTAGGCTGTAGTGGCCAAGTTTTTGGGGAGCTATATCCAAATAAAGCTGACAGACAGGTCCCTGTCCAGTACAGATGATCTCTAAGCTGTTACTCTGTTCATTTTTCATTCATCGCTATTTCTCAAAGAATTTGAAGTTATGTAATAATTTTAAAATACAAGAAAAGTGTTGAAAGTGACTTTGGCACTTTGAAACTATCTGCATAAGATTTTTAAGAATCAATCCATATTATATGTGGCCTTCTAAATTGTATACTTTTAATTAAGCTACACCAACTGTACATCCTAGGGGCAACGTGTGACACTTCAGCACATGCACACAGTGTGTGGGCATCAGATCAGTTAAATTGCCATATCTACTACCTCACTATGTTGGGGTTTTCATAAACACCAAGTTTGAGTTACCATGTGGTGTAGGCAGATCGAATCTTACTTCACTGCCTGTGGTTCCGTAAACGTGTATCTGCCAGCACCATACAGAATCTGGATATGAAAACAAAGTTATACCAATGGGAGTGTGAGCTCATGAAGCCTTTGTAGAGTCAGTGCTCATTGCTTATGGTTTGTTTCATAATTTATATATACAGTGCATGTGTTTAGTTCTTATAGAAATCTATTCAATCTTATTATTTAATAAAATATGACCTGCTGTTTCCTCCTATTTATTTTAATGTTGATTTAATGTTTATGATCCAACTCATTTTGGTCATATCAAAAGGCTTTAGAATGGTAGTATTATATAAATGTTAGATTATTGAAACTAAGGAAGGCACTGAAGCCCAGTGTAATTTGTGTCTTGAACACCTTTGTGCATATTCTGAGTTGGCAGGTGAAGTTAGAATCACAAGACCTGAGCAGGAGCCTGCAGTGCTGACTGACACTGTGTACCTGGCAGCGCCACGCTTAGTGGCACGTGTGCTAGGGTATTACGGTTGCACAAATGTGTGAAGGTTCATGTGTTTTTACAATCACTATGTCTTGACAAAATTTAGCCTTAAAATTCAAATTATTACAGCTCAACAACTGATTGGATAACCAACTATTTAGTAAATTCTAAATGTTTTTCGACTGTAGTTGAATGCTCGCACCATAACAGGAATTTCGCAGCTGCTCTGCTCTGTTCTGATCTGTCTTGCACCATCCAGATCTCTTCTTCACCACTTCCTCCAAACGCTCTACACTCATTCACAGGTCAGCAGTCACGGCTTCCCTCTGACCTTCTCAAGAACACAGTCACTCTGCATCTGCAGGTTCCGTAGCTATGGATTCAGCCACCTGCAGCTGGGAGATATTTGAAAAACCCTGCATCTGTACTCAATGTGTATAGATATTTTTCTTGTCACCATTCCCTAAACAATACATTATAACAGCTGCTTACATGACATTTACATAGTACTAGTAATAGTTACCTAGTTCTGTTATCTAGAGATGATTTAAAGTATTCAAGAGGAGCTAGCCTTGGTGATGCGCACCTGTAATCCCAGCATTTAGGGGGCTGAGGGAAGAGGATAGCCAGGAGTTCAAGGCCAGCCTGGGTTACGTAGTGAGTTCAGGGCCAACCTGAACGCCAGAGGGAGGCCGTGCCTCCAAACACAAACACAAAAAAATGTATACAGGAGGGTTATGCAGTTTTTATGTAAATACTATGTTATTTTTTGTAAGGGAATTGAGGGTCTGCAGATTTCAATGTCCACAGGGAATCCTGGAAGCAATTCCTGGTAGATGTCAAGAGATTACTGTGTGACTGAATGTTGTAAGCATTCTGCAATATTATTATATATTATTATTAACGTATATTATTATTATACATGCAATATTATTTTTTAGTTTGCTGCTTAGCGAAAGACAACTGGAAATATTTTCCCCGTTTCTTCCCTACTCTTAAGTCAGTTTTGTCTTGCTCTTTTTTCTGCTTCTGTGAAGATACCACCTAACCAACTGGAATTATTGGTATTTGCAAACAAGGAAACCAGTTATTAGTAAAGATGTATTCTGACATTTGAGCTAGCAAGTGCTATGGGATTTCAGCAGTAACTAGATAGACACAAGGTTATCTTTGTCCTACAAGTTGAGCTCTCAGTAGCTGATCTGCTATGGCCCCGGTTGATGTTGGAAAACCAAAAGTATTGGTGCTACACTGATCATTATAATTCTTATCGTGGTGCTGAACAGGTTGCTACAAACAGCAACAAGTATACACCCACACATTTATTACTGTAATAGCTGAATATGGCAATAACTGCACACGTTCCTTTATTCGTTCATTCTCCAGGACTATCGCGTTAACATCTTCCTGAGACAAAAATGGAACGACCCGCGGCTGAAGCTCCCCAGCGACTTCCGGGGTTCGGATGCTCTCACAGTGGACCCCACAATGTACAAATGCCTGTGGAAACCAGATTTGTTTTTTGCGAATGAAAAAAGTGCCAATTTCCATGATGTAACCCAGGAAAACATACTTCTCTTTATTTTTCGGGATGGAGATGTCCTTGTCAGCATGAGGTGCTCGTTCATATTTGTGCACATTTATATCTTTCTTTTCAAACTAGGGGACTGCACAGATGTAGACTACAGCAGTTCTTTTTCCCTGTCTCTGCTTGCAGGTTGTCCATTACTCTTTCCTGCCCCTTGGACTTGACTCTGTTCCCCATGGATACGCAGCGTTGCAAGATGCAGCTGGAGAGCTGTATGTAAATGAGACCCTAAGGACGATGGGAGTAAAAGGCTATGTCTTGACAAGACATGCTAGTAATGCTTTTGATCATAGTCATTAGGGTAATTTTAGGAATTATAGTTAATTTTTACTGTATTAATTTTTATTAAGATGGACAAATCTTTTTGGTTCTAGTCTGGTTTTAGTTTGGTTGATGTAAGTATACATGCTTTTAACTTGTGCTGATTGCCATCTTAATTTCAATGAGTACTACAGCAAAGGTGAAGAAATAGAGTCCTAATTAAAATAACTTCCTTGATGCTAAAACCACATTTTCATAGCAAAAACTTTGGAAAACATTGGTAAATACTCTGCAAATACAAACAAGTATTCATTTTCTATGGATACTTAGATAAAAGATAAAATATAGATTTGTTTAATGAAACCTGATTTTAATAGTTCTAAGGTTATAAAATATGTACTAAGTGTATTTATGGAAATTTTCTATAAAAATATTAATTTACTGTGATGATTGTCCTTTGGAAATAAAAGACATAAACCTTGAAACATTCATACTAATGTCATAAGGAATCTCTAGCCTGAATAAATATATACCGTGATCCATTTCTGCAGAATAAAAAAGACCAATAACCTTTTAAAATGCATTGCATATGCTTGTTAGAGTATACGCTCAAAGTTATTTTATGGTTCTTGTTTTTTAAAAATATCTGTGAAAAGAGATCCTAAATGTCAACAGTATTTTTTGCCTTCTAACTATAAAATGAGATTTTGCATGGCTAAGTATAAGTGTGACAGGTTTTTAAAGTTTGTGTTATATATGTGTATGTATGTCTGTGTATGTGTATATATGTTTGTTGATACTTGTTTTTATCAAAAATTCCAACTGTCTTTGCAATCTAATTCCGTGTACTGGATGCATTAAAATACTGTTCTTAGATGTAGAGGTGCTTTAGGGTTTAGTCGTGGACTACTGCATGCTGCGCTCCATGACTTGGAGCCACGTTGTCTCAGAGCGGACCTGCGCTTCAGGTGGCTACCATGCTGCCATGACAATGTCCATTGAAGAGATGGTTATGCTGCTGACTTTGCCAGGATGTAACTCCTTTAGGAAAGTTTGAAGTAATTTCTTCAAACAATTAAGTGCCTAAATGCTTACATTTCTTTAAAAGAAACTTCAGGTAACATGTTGCACGATGGTAAATGTACACATTCAGAAATCTTCATTTTATTACCTTTTTATTGATGAGGGTTAAGAATTCAGATACAGGTGAATTTTTGCACACCATGTCCTGGGATTTTAACTATTACCACTTTGCTATTCTTTAAACTTCTTCATTCTTCAAGATGATTGTTCCTTGCGCTACATTTTATAGGTGGCCATCAGCTTGCTTGCATTTTTAATTAGTTTCATGTAGGAATAGCCTATTGTCTTAGCTTCTCTATGTATGATATTTGGATTTTTAAACATTAAGAAAAGTATTAAATATAAAGTAAGCATTCACAATTAAATATATTTCAACCTGACACATTCATTTATTTATTTTTGCTTCTAGTTGGTTACACAACCGATGACTTGAGATTTATTTGGCAGTCAGGGGATCCTGTTCAGTTAGAAAAAATCGCCCTGCCTCAATTTGACATTAAAAAGGAAGACATTGAGTATGGGAACTGTACCAAATATTACAAAGGCACTGGTAAGTGATAGTTTTTTATTATTTTAAATGTTTACAGCAATATTTTTATTAGTGCATGTTTGCAGTACATAATACTTACATTTATCATGGGGAGTTAGTTGATGTGTGCACAAAACACATCTTCATTCTTCTTTTTCATTCCCTCTTCCTCCCTCCCTGCTCTCTGCTTATTTCAAAGATTAATTTTATTATGAATGGGTGCTAAAGGAAGAGTAGAAGGAGACTAATGAAAAATAAGTTTAGTACAGATATTTATCTTCATATTCATATGTTAAATCTTTCACAGAATTTCATTCACTGCAGATTTTTTTGTTATTTAACTACAAGATAGACATGGTTTTCTTCATGCAATGCTGATGGTAAGAGGTTTTCAGTTTTTAATTTTACTTTATTATTTTTCTAGGCTTTTTTGTGGTGCTGGGGATTAAACCCGGGCCTTTGCACTGAGAAACTGTTTTAATCACTTTTCTCCTGGCTGATGCACAATGCCTGACACCTGCAGCTCAGGGCTGGAGAGGTTTATTTTGGCTCTCAGTTTGTAGAGGTTCCAGTCTCCGTCTGCTGGCTCCGAGACAGGGCAGTGCTGCACAGGGCGCATAGAGGTGAGCTGCTCCTGGCATTGTTTCCAGGAAGCAGAGAGCATCGGGGAGAAAGAGAGAGAGGAACCCTTTACTAGCTGCACCCCAGGGACCCAACTCCTCCCACCAGACCCTGCACCCAGCACCAAGCAGACCATGCCACCCATAGTCCAGCCACCTACAATCCCACCTCCGATCGCTCAAGGCCGCAGGAGAACGTCTAGGCACAAACCATAACAAATCCACCGCCAGCCCTTTTTATGTCTGATTTTGATAGCAGCGCTGGCTAAATCACTGTTATTGAGTGAGGTAGGCTGGAACTTGCAATCCTCCTGCCTCAGCCTCTGGGAGTGCTCTGATTACATGAGTGAGTCACTGCCCTGGCACTTTCTTATTTTATTAATGCAAACTCTCCCAGGTGGTGGTTTTCTGAGATGTTGCCAAGAAATTTTATGTCTGGTAAGGGTCATTTTGGGGCTAAAACTTGTGGAAATGAACAATGTAATCCATATGTCTGCATCCACTGGGTTTGGGCAGTGTTTAGATGGTAGACAGCATTGGTCTTCATGCCATGTAGGAACCAGGAGAGGTGTGAGGTAAATGGACTACAGTCTTTTTGGCCTACGTCAACAACCAGCCAATTATGAAAGGCACAAGAGAGTAACCTCATTCACTCAATGATGTGGAACTTCTGCAGGAAATACAGTACTCAGCTCCTTGATATTGTCATGAAATAAGTAATGTTCAGCCTTGGAATCCACTTGGGTAGCTCCAAGTCACTGAAGGCTCTGGAGAGGAATATGTGTTATATCACTTAAAAATACAAATAAAGGTATTGTGGAATTTTGATCATTACGTTGATAGTAATAATCAGTTCAACTTGTAAATTGTCACACAATTCTAATTCTCTATCAATAAATAAATCATGACAAAAGACACCCAGGAACAAATAAATGTAAAGTTTAACTTTATTGTGACATGTATGCTGACTTGTAATCATAGGAAAGTATATATTTTAATCATGTAGAATTTTAGAGAGATCAGTTCTTTTGGGTAGAAAGCTACCATCATGACATTATCAAACAGAAAATATGATTGTAAATATTTCTCTTGATATTTAAATAAGAGATACAATGTATATTTGAATTTTTATAGTATTAAAATAAATGGAATACTAGGGATATTGGAGAGAGTTAGTTTAAGACTGTTGTTGACATTCACCTCACTGACAGATTATATAACATTTATATGTAAGCAATTCTTCCTCTTATTGAGCTTATCATATATGAGGACAAGAGACATAATAACCAAATATATTGACATCAGGTTTTTAAAAATTAAAAACTGAGTTCTTAGAAATTTGATCATCAAACTACTCAGTGAAAAAGACATAGATACACAGATTGTTAGATATGAATGTTATCTTATTGATATTCTGATCTGGCTGATATTTTATCGACATATAGAGTAGCGGCAGTCCTGGATGACCAAATGATTTGTAGACTGTCACCAGGCATATTAACGTCAGGCCTGCCATTAGACATAGTCACCCTTTATCCTGGGGAACCCCTTTCAATTGAGAGTGTAGTTACTTATGACACTTGAAGCTCATCTAGTAACTAAAAAAAAATCTTGAAAACCAAGAAAAGTGTTTTGGGGATTGTTGTAACACAGATATAGTAGATAGGTTTTTTTAATTTCTTAGTATATTTAGGTATTAAATGCCTTGTATGACTTAAATAATCATCTTCTGAGTTAAGAATTTTATCATCCTCTGTTTGACTGGCCTGATCAAGTAAAGACACTCAGCTAAGGTTTGCCCTGACTATGTGGAACACCAGACTATTGATTTTGATATTGTTCCACTACATGTGGAGTCAAGTCCCATTATAACTTGAAAAAAGTCACTCGCATTCAGTTCACATACTTAACGTTTTAAAATGTTTAACATTTAAAACATTAAACACATTTAAAATGCCCAACGTTCTTTGAAAAATTTGAAAAAAGTTTCTGTTGAAGTTTTAAATTGCATTTAGGTATAAAATTAAACTAGCAATTTCTTTGTAATTTTGTGTTGTAGCACAAAATTATTTTTACAACTTTGTGAATCCTAGGGGTGTTCATTGTTTACTTTAATAACTTATTGTTAAAAATCTCTATTTGGAAGACACAACAATGAATTAAAGACAAATCCTGACTCTTTAGGAGGTATACTTCAGTGCTGTCAATAAGTAAAATAAATGTTAGTTATATGGAAGAAAGTAAAAAAGGTGTGGTGTGGTAGAAAGAATTTAGACGATGACTCAAGAATTACAAGAGAGTAGAGTTTTTTTGTCATCTTTTTGAATCATCATAAGTAAGTTGCTGAAATCAGGCACTTTATCAGTATTTACATGAATCATCATATGGATAGAAGTAAAACGTTTTACACTTGATCTTATGTCTGGGTAATATTTATAAAGATAGGATATTTGGAATATGTGGGCTTCTGAGCAATGTAGTACTGTAGAGTGATGTATGGAACATGATTGCCCATATATTCTTTAATTTTACACAAATGATGGCTCAACTCTAAACATTATTACAGTTGTGTTTTTCTATGATTAGAGAAATAATAAAGGTGAAGAAATATATGGGAAAAACAAGCACATGAAAATATATAAATTGGAAACCTGAGTGGATAATGAAAGAAAACCTCACAGGAAATAGAAAGTAAATTGAATTTTCCAATGAACATTTATAGCAATTAGCTGCCCACCTGCCCCTCATAAAGGTAACAGTGCGAGGAGAAGATCAAAAAAGACCCAGAAATGTTTCTCATGAAAGTTTATGGAGCAAATCACAGTAATATCAAACATGGATTTTACTGGTAAGTGTATCCAGGTCCTGTGAATCTCCTGTCGCAGAGTCTTTTAAAAGGTACACGATGGAAATTTGCCTTCAAACACAGGACTTCGGTTATTTAGGTTCTCATTGAAATGGAGGGGGGTGAATTACAAGACTATTTTAAAGTGTGCTACTTTGTAATAAATTGCTATAATCCGTGTGACAATGGAGGCTATCTAAAAGTATATAATTTGTTAAGAGGCACATAAGCATCATTCTTCATTTCCTGTGCACTAGATGAGTATAAAAGTAACCTGAAAAAGTAATACTATTACCAAAACCAAGCTACCTTGGAGCTGCTTTTTGGAAATACTGTGATCCTTCTTAGTTTCAGCAGTTGTACTTATGGAAGATTGTATTTTTAAGCATTGCATATGACTGTTAATTTCAAACATATGTTCCCCTTTGTCTGGAAGAAAAGTTAAAATGAGTGATGGAGAACAGAAAGGGGGCGTCCGTTGTTTGCTTTTTCTATATTAAAAGCCTGTGGACAACTTAATATATTGCCTAGTTTTATTGAAATTAAAAAGAGAAAAAGAAGCTCTGCATTTTTTGATGTAATATGGAAGCACTTGACATAATTTCATTTCAGTTCAGTTCTAAGCAACTAATAATTTCTGTTCTATGTTCTGCTACCTTTCTAACTTCTCAGAGGCAGCAGTAGTTACAATCTACTCTGGAAAAAGATAAGATTTCTCATCCAAATTACTTGTAAAGAAGATGTAGGTAACTCTTTTAGTCAGTTTTTATGAAGATTGTATTGTGCGCAGATACTGCAGCAGGTACTTGATGAATAATTATGAAGATTATTCTAGGGTCCAAGCATGTATATTTGTCCCAATTAAGAAGATTGTGTAAATATTATTTTTCTTGATAAGGTAGCTCAAATTAACATTGTCTTTACCTTCATAATTGTTTCAGTTTTGCACTGTTCATTTATTTATTTGTTTCAGCATTTAAAAATAATTGTGCACAGTTTAAACTGAAAAATTTAGACATATTTTAACTTTTTGGTATTATGCATAACCATACTTCTGTTAAATACTGAATGAAATTCTTATCTAAATTAGGCATTGCAGGCATTACCTATTATATTGAAACTGCTAACTTAAAGGACCAAAATATTTTTAAAATTTTCTAAAATATCTGCAAATAGCATGTGTAGTTGAGAAGTGCTGTTAGGTATTTGTCACTTGTTCTCTTTCTGAAGTTGGCAAAGGCTACCATCTTCTTATTAATTCAGGGTCTAGTTGGTGTCATGGAAGTTCTAGAATTATGCTATAATTTCTGCATCTGCCCCCGCGTGTGAAAATGAACGTATGTCCCAACTAGATGACGTTTGAGGGCGGGAGTGGGGGAGGGAAGAAGATGGAGAGGGAGCCGATGTCAGCCCTTGTGTCTTCTGCATATGTAATGGAAAAGCTCGGTGTCTTCCCCTCAATAATGCGTACTTCCGGTACTGTTCCCAACTGTTTAAGTGGAAGCCTAACAGCAACGTGACGGAGCAGCAGGTGGGCTGAACCGTCAGAGGGCAGCGAGTGGCCCTGGGGCCCGTTAGTGACCTTGCAGCTCACCTGGGCTGTGTCTGTCTCCGAAGGCTACTACACGTGTGTGGAGGTCATCTTCACGCTGAGGAGGCAGGTCGGCTTCTACATGATGGGGGTCTACGCCCCGACTCTGCTCATCGTGGTCCTCTCCTGGCTGTCCTTCTGGATCAACCCCGATGCCAGTGCCGCCAGGGTGCCGCTGGGTAAGGGCTTCGCGCTGCACGCGGGGACTGTGAGAGGCAGCCTGATCCTGCCCAGCCTCAAACTCACAATGCTCTGGAAGCCAAATGTTCTGAGTTTTCATGTAGAGTAAGTCACTCCATGCCTGGGGTCCTGGGTTGGGGCACAGTCAAAACAGAGTGCTGAAAATATTGCACAAAATTTCCTTAAAGTACACATGAAACATCAGTGAGTTTTGTTTTTAGACTTAGGTCCCATAAAATATCTCATTATGTTCATGGAAATAGTCCAAAGTCCCCAAAGTTCTGAACCCTGAGACACTTTGGGCCCCACGCGTCTCAGGTAAGGGTAACGACTCTCATCAAGTCATGGTGCTCTAACCAGCCACAGTGGCTTTTGGAATCAGTGGCAACCTGCTTTCTTGGACAGGCAGCTTCCTTCAAAATCTGCTGTTGAACTGATTTCATCAGTGTCCGCCCACTCCCTGATCAGGCTGAGTTTCTCTTTTCATGCTCTTAGGGTATTTTAATGACTTAATCTAGTCTGCTTTTTCTGTTATTAAGTAGTTATTGAGAAGTGATTTTAATTGATCACTAAAGTTGAAACTCTTCGAGTGCCAGCATGAAAAATCACATTACTATTTTGATGCAATAGCACGTGTGTCCTGCATTCATTCAGGGGACGCAGTCGTGCACCTCATAACCCTTGGGTCGGTGATGGACCCCATATTCCACATATCCAAGGCATTTTGCGAGTTTGTGCCATAAAGCCAAGGTCTATAGCGGGTGTAGACAAGGTACAGAGCAGATATATACCATATAGCTGAGGAATGTAGCGAGTATGTGGCATGTAGAAATGTGTAAGCACATTCTGATGTTCACACAGTGACAGTGTCACCTAGTGATGCATTTCTCAGGACAGTACCCCATCATTCAGGGATGTATGATGATAGTAATACAGTTTTTAAAACTTACTTAACATATTTAAGGGTTGACTGTCTCTCCCTTGAATCCACATGCTCTCCAGTGCATTGCTGCTAAGGCTCAGTGACATATAAACAGCATGGAGCAGTCTTCAGAACATTATGTCTGTATAAGGAATGAAAGTATTTGCTTGAGGAAACAAGCAAAGTAAAGCAAATAAATTTCAAAACATGGACATTGTCACATTGCTTTCTGATTGTCTTAGAGTGTTTTCAATTTCCCATTCCTGTGTTTCCTAAATATCACCTGGAGCTCATGTAGATGAGCTAGATGTATTTGACTCTCAGTGAGTGAATGCTAGGTTTAATTTTTCTTCCATCACAAAGGCCTTGTGCATGTCCCAGTCCTAACTTGTGGAGCAATTTAATGAGATGCAGGTTTTAAAGAGTAGGAAACGGAGAAGGAAGCAACGTGAGTGACATGTTTATCTGAAAAAGAACTTTGGTAGTTTACATTTAGTAGCAACCACAAAGACCAAATCCATATCTTAGCAACCAAAAACAAGGGAGATTTTAGCCTAAATGCTATGTGTCTGTAATGACGACAATGAAAATGGATAGGTTAATTAAATCATTTAGGGGATAAAAATGAACTGTAATATATTTCATTGGAAACAACTCCTGGATTTAAATGCTTAGACTTGTCAAAAATGCCACACATTTCCCCCAAGTAATCAATCCTTGTTTATTAGAATTATCTTGTGGTCCTGTAGTGACATAAATTTAAATATCATACTTCCAAGGGCTCTTTGGAGACCTCCCAATCTCTGATATTTTCTTAAAAGATTTTTCTCTGTAGGTTCTCATTCATCACAGGACTTCTAATATGAGTCCCTGAGCTGTCAGTTTTTTACAAAAATGGTTTATGTGGTGCTCAGGATTAAGCCCAGGGCCCTGTGTGTGCAAAGCATAGTCTTTTTCACTGAGCTATATCCATGGCTGGTGGGGCAAAAATGTTTGATGGTTCTAAGTCAGTCTCTGGAGTCCTAAGTGGATTTGAATTCCCTCTGTGTGCTTACTAATCAAGACAGCTGAGGCAGTAGGTCCAGCCTCTTTACACATACCTTGCCTGAAATGTCCATTCAGGAATGATAAAAAGTATTCATAGATGTGTTGTATATGGGATTAAGAAAGAATCAAGGCTGACTTTAGAGTTCTTTTTATGGCTAAAAAACTAGAGAAATAATAGCTAAGGTGGGAAAATCTGCAGGTGCTACTGCTAAGAGTAAGACTATGAGTATAAAGCCGATATTATAAACTGAGGAGTTAATATTATGCTGCACATATATATACCTTTACAAGTTGCAACACATTTATGTGTTTTAACTCATTCAGAAAATACTTACTTTGTGCCATCGGCTGGGTACTATCAAGAAGATGTGAGATGTAGTTAAAATGAATTGCTGATAGTTAAGCAAATAGATTTTTAAAAGCCTTACTCTTAATAGGTTAAGATTGTCTCTTGAGAAGAAACAGACACCAAATAAATACATGTAGGACGGTGATACAGGGGCAGCAGTCTGCTTGGTGGAGAAGGCCTCTAGGAGAGAGAGCAGGGGTGATGTTCCAAAAATGGAGGAAGGAGGTGAGGAAATGAACGAGGCTTACCGGACATCCAGGAAGCAGTGGAGCGTGGGCTCGCGATGACCCGGCTGCATCCGGAGGCTCCTGTGTGGGGTCCCGAGGACCAGTGAGCTGCAGGCAGAGCAGTGGCTCCCAGTAGAAAGGCAGCGGTCGCGAGCCTTGGACCCGTATGGCCCCTCACACTTCCGCTCAGTTGGCTTGGGTTTGCCTAACGTGAAACGTGAGGCATCCGAAGAATCCAGAGCGCGATCAGGCTGCAGTTCTAACCAATTTTCAATTTGACGGTTGCTTACCTGGTCAGGAAAAGACGAAGAGGGAGCAAGGAAGAGCAAGGAGGCAATTGGGAGGCCCACGCAGTCGGTGTATAGTCTGGGTGGCCAGAGCGTGCGGTCAGAAACTTTAGCGGGGACCAAAGTGAAGGGAGGAGGGAAGGTAAGTGTAGGGGCGTTGTGTGCAGGACCTAAGAAGGGAGGCTGACATCGAAGTTATTTTTCTTTTTCTGAGAAACTAGAAAATTGACATTAACTGAGTTGAGGAAGGACCAAGAACAAGTGGATTTGAGAGGGGTGGATGAGGTGTTTCCTTAGAGGAAAGAGTTCGAGATGTCCCTAAGGTGGAGGTCACATAGGCAGTTGAATATTCATGTCTCAGGCTTCTCGGAGCCTTCAGAGCTGGAGGGAGAATTTCAGATTGTCAGGATGTAGACGGTCTTCACAGGGATGGGTCCAGCAGGGTCACAGGGGAATGGGTGTAGGTGGAGAAGCCTGCCTCTGAGAGGGACCAGGAAAATGAGAACAGCGGGTGTGGTGTGGTGCCGTTTCCCGGAAGCCACCGGACACTGTGTCGGAAGCCACTGGACACTGTGTCGCTGCGGCTCACAGGGCTCCGGGCTCAGGCAGACATTAGGGCGTGTTTGCGGTGCGTAGCAGCCAGATTCCTTGTGGCAAGTTGGTTCATATACATAGCACATTTTAATTCATTTTTTCATCCCTTTCCCTCCCCTCCCTACTGCCTGCCTCCCCCTCTTTTTTTTTTTTTTTTTTTT